ATGAGGTTTCTTGAGGTAAGATTATAGAACCGTTGCCTTCCGGGGTCGAGACCAGAAAAGGGAGACTTGCCCTGGACTGTGATGTGGTTTGGATGGCTGGTCCAGTTGTGTCCCTTCGTGGGTCACTGGGACCAGAAGGTTAGGGGTTCAGCTGACTCTGATCTTGATGGAGACATTTTCCCTCCTTGCCTGCTGTTTCCTCCACTATAAATGTAGGGGCAGGATTAGATTGGGGGAGGTAAACTGTGGCTTACCTGCTCAAATCTGTTTAATTGTTTGTTTTATAATACATTTTCTTTTTTATATATATTTTTTTATTGATTTCAGAGAGGAAGGGAGAGGGAGAGAGAGTTATAAACATCAAATGATGAAAGAATCATTGAGCAGCTGCCTCCTGCACACCCCCTACTGGGATCGAGCCCACAACCCAGGCATGTGCCCTTGACTGGAATTGAACCGGGACCCTTCAGTCCATAGGCCGATGCGCTATCCACTGAGCCAAATCAACCAGGGCATAAATTTTATTTTCAGAGCACTTTTAGACTCAAAGCAAAATTGAGCACAAAGTAGACTTTCCTATATGCTCCCTGTCCCAACACACACACAGCCTTCTCCACTATCAACATCTCCCACCAGAGTGGGATGGTTGTTATAATCGATGAACCTACATTGACATTATCATCACCCAAAGTCTGTGGTTTGCATTAGGTTTCACTCTTGGTGGTGTACATTTTATGGGTCTTGACAAATGTCTGATGACATGTATTCACCATTGTAGTATCATACAGAGCAGTTTCACCGCCCTAAAAATCCATCTGTTTTTATAAATAAAATCTACATTTACGTCATGCCTGTGGCTGCTTTTGCACTATAATGGCAGACCTGAGCCATGGAAACAGTCTCTATATGAGACCGCATAGCCTGCAAAACCTAAAGTATTTATTATCTGGACCTTTACAGAAGTTTGCAACCCCTGGACTAGATGATTTCCAGGAAGCTTCTAGAATCTGCGATTTTCCTCTTAGGTTATTCTGCAGTTTCCTATCTGGGTGTTTATTCTTCCTCCTCATCCCCTCCTCCTTCTCCCTCTCTCTTGGGGCCCCTCCTCTGCACGGACATAGCTGCCACCGTCCCGGAGCAGAGGACTGTGACGCTGGACGTGGACGTGAACAACCGAACAGACCGGCTGGAGTGGTGCAGCTGCTATTACCATGGCAACTTCTCCCTGAACGCGGCCTTTGAGATCAAGCTCCACTGGATGGCGGTGACCGCTGCGGTCCTCTTCGAGATGGTGAGCGTCTCCTCTCCTTGCGGATGGGGCCCTGGCTCGCTGTGCAGAGGGCTCAGTGGGTGCTTAGTAGCAAATCGTGTCACTTCAAGAAATACATCTTTTTATTGATTTCAGAGAGGAAGGGAGAGGGAGAGATAGAAACTTTAGTGATGAGAGAGAATCATGGATCGGTTGCCTCCTGCACGCCCCCTACTGGGGATTGAGCCCACCACCCAGGCATGTGCCCTGACCTGGAAGCAAACCGGCAACCTCTTGGTTCCTGGGTTGATACCCAACCACTGAGTCACACAGGCCAGGTGAGAAGGGTTTTTAGAAGCAAGAGATAGCTGTCTCCAGTCTCCTCCTCCCAAAAGAAACACCGGCATTGCAGACGCATGGGCTGCCGGGAGGAACTGTGCGTAGCTCATAATTGTGAGTATTTGTCAGGAGGTGAGACTGCGTTTTCCTGCCCGGGACTGGTTGGGAGCCAGCAATCACCAACGTGCCAGTCAACGTGCGTGACGCCACCTGGCAGTGTTTCCTCTCGTCTGCACCAGGTTGGGGGTGACACTGTTTGTGTCTGTGTTTTCCACCAGGTCCAAGGGTGGCATCGCAAAGCCACCTCCTGCGGCTTTTTGCTGGTGCCGGTTCTGGAGGGTCCCTTTGCGCTGCCCAGTTACCTGTACGGCGACCCGCTTCGAGCCCAGCTCTTCATCCCGCTCAACGTCAGCTGTCTGCTCAAGGAGGGCAGCGAGCACCTGTTCGATAGTAAGAGACGCTCCCTTCGGGGCTTCCGTCTCCATGAGTAAGACCAGACCCCTCTTCCCCCCAAGGACACCTCTGGGGAGCTAACCCACGCAGGCTTCTGCATAGAGAGCCTTCGGACAGGGGCCAAAGGATCTGGGGTTTTTTGTTTGTTTTTGTTTTTTTTTAATGAAGTGGCCCTAAGGCTTTTTGAACGATTTTTTAAAATATATTTTATTGACTTTTTACAGAGATGAAGGGAGAGGGTTAGAGAGTTAGAAACATCGATGAGAGAGAAACATCCATCAGCTGCCTCCTGCACACTCCCCACTGGGGATGTGCCTGCAACCAAGGTATGTGCCCTTGACCAGAATCGAACCTGGGACCCTTCAGTCAACAGGCTGACGTTCTATCCACTGAGCCAAACCAGTCAGGGCAGATCTGGGTTTTAATCTTCCTTCTTCACTTAGTGACTGGGTAACCCTGGACAAGTCACTTAATGTCTCTGGGCCTCAAAATCCTTTTTATTTATTTTTATTTTTGTATATATTTTTATTGATTTCAGAGAGGAAGGGAGAGGGAGAAAGAGAGAGAAACATCGATGATGAGAGAGAATCATGGATCGGCAGCCTCTTGCACACCCCACACTGGGGATCGAGCCCACAACCTGGGCATGTGCCCTGACCGGGAATCTAATCATGACCTCCTGGTTCATAGGTCGATGCTCAACCACTGAGCCACACCAGCGGGGCTATAAAGCACTCTTTACACACACACACACACACACACACACACACACACACACACACACTTGTGTGACCTCACGGTGTGGCTGAGGCAGGACCATTTTTGCAGTTCGGAAATGCCTAATGAGTGTGTGTATCTGACTATTTTAAGCCAGGCACCGCCTCATGGTGTTGTTTTTCATGTGTTGAGGGGACAGAGAGATGGTCCCCGCACCGTCCGAGCCTCCTCTGGGGTTTTCCACCTTCACGGTGATAGCCCAGGGTAGCGCGAGGGGCTGGCCTCGGGGGACATTTTTTGTGTGAGCTGATGGCTTTCTCTGCCACTCATAACCCCGTCATCAAGACCAGCCGCCTCTGTGGGTTGCCATGGTTACAGCTGAACGAAAGGAGTCCTAGCTTCAAGGAATAAGGGCTTGAGTCTAAAATTCGATTTTCTTGCTTCTGTGCTGCTTCTCTTCCAGTTATCGCCCCTTCTGATAACAGTGGATTCAAACCCTTAAAAACCCGACAAGAATCTGCCGTGTGTGTGTTTTCCTATTAAAGCCAGAGCCTTTTTCTCCCTTGCTCTCCCGTTGCCCAGAATCCTCAGGTCTGTCCTAGATAGAAGAGTCCAAGTGCGGAAGGAGTGACGAGGCCACTCAGGCACCCGGCCTTGGGGATGTCCGTGGCACCTCCGTCCTGAGAGCGGCCCTGGCCCCTGGCCGGCTGCTGTGGGACAGCCCTCAGCCCCCCTCCCGCCCCTCTTGGTCCTCAAGGCAGCCCCGCAGGAGGAGCAGGAGGAGCAGGAGGAGCAACAAAGTGGGCGATGGGGGAGGGTATGTCCCCGCCCCTCCCCAGACGATCACTCTTCCAAAATTATTTTTATATCACTTTGCTTCCATTTCCCCACCCAGCTTATAATATTGCCTTTCCTCATAGGGAAATGGAAGATGGTCCTGAGAGGCAGATAACATGCATTTCTTTTTTATTTTTTTGTTAATCCTCACCCAAGGATATTTTTCCATTGACTTTTAGAGAGAGTGGAAGAGAGAGGGACAGACAGAGGAAACATCGATGTAAGAGAAACGCATCGATTGGTTGCCTCCTGCACGAGCCCCAACCAGGGCCCTTGACCGGGATCGAACCTGGCACCCTTTGGTCTGCAGGCTCTATCCATTGAGCAACACTGGCCAGAGCCCTTAAAGCTCCTCTCCTTTTTGCACTGGGACATCGTGCTCCTTTCCGCTGCTGACACAGGAGGTCATTGGAATGAGTCCTGGCAGCTCACGCTGGCTCCTAAGGGCTCACGTTCGTCCCCTCTCTAGACCCTGATAGAACACAGGAGAGAGGAGGGTGAGAATGTGTGGCTGTCACTTTCTTTGGCCCGTCCCCCCTTGGGGTAGAGGCTGGTCTCTCCGGAGGCAGGGCGGGTGGAAAAGCTGAGCCTGTGACCAGGGGGAGGCATTGCCAAGAGCAGAGAAGGGCTCAGAAGGCCAGACCCCGGGCCAGTCGCGTACCGTAGGGTCCCAGCCGAGCATTTACTCCTTCTCCCTTTCAGGCTTTGAACCGGAAACGTACTGGGACCGCATGCACCTCTTCCAGGAAGCCATTGCGCACAGGTTCGTCCCTTCGCAAGAGAGAACGGCAGGGAGGCCCTCGCGTTCGTCTGGAATAGCAGTTCCCAGAGCGAAGCCCCGTTCGTTTCATTTCTGGGGAAACAGGGCTAGCCCCCCAATGTCACACGCGCTGCTTATCTCCGCTCGGACCCCGACCTTGGTTTCAAAGCTCAGCGCACCCTCTCCAGTTCCCGTGGCTGTTGTTTTCAGACCTGATTTCCGTCGCCTTCCAGTTGAGGGGAGAGCAGAGCCCCCCCCTTAGCCTCCAACAAGACCTGAGACAAGCTATCTGGGAGATGACAGGAGACGAAAAACTGGAATTTGTCAAGAGTCCCTTGACACATGCCAAAAAGACAGTCAGTGCTTAAGCAGTGATAGAGGAGTCAGGAGGCATTTCCTGGCACTTCAGCTGTGTTCCAGGGAAAGCCTTCCCCAGGCTCGGCTGTCCATCCTGGGGATAGTCAGTGAGGGGGCCCAGGACCATGTGGTTAAATTACCTTTTTAAAAAGTATGTATTTTTTTATTGATTTCAGAAAGGGAGGGAGAGGGAGAAAGACATAGAAACGTCAGTGATGAGAGAGAATCATGGATCAGCTGCCTCCCGCACATCCCACACTGGGGATGGAGCCCGCAACCCCGCATGTGCCCTGACCGGGAGTGGAACTGTGACCTCCAGGCTCATAGGTTGATGCTCAACCACGGAGCCACGCATTTTTTCTTTTTCCCCCAAATAGCAATAATCGCGCCTCAGGTAAACCTCATTGGTTACGATACTGCCAGTGCGCAAAGCTTAAGTTGCCTTTTTAAAATGGAAGCTCCTTCCTGGTGACTTAAGGAAGAGATGAGGCAAGAATCTGGCTCAGGCTGATCTACGCTGAGGAAATGAAGGACTTGATTAGAAGTAGAGAGGAAGAGAGGAAAACCCAGGCCACGCCTGCACCTGATGGAGTCAGCCTGCGGGCGATGGGCTTGCGAGGCGTGTTAGCCGGTCCATGTGTTTGCAGATCTGACTAATGTAGAGGCTACCACACAGCACCTCCCTGAGGAGCTTGGTCCAGGAGAGAAGAGGGGCCTTTCACCTCCTGGAGTTCTGCCCGTGTCCCCGCCTGCATTACATAAAGCGTCGGGCTCAGGGCAGGAGCCACATCTATTAATATGTCCTTTGCAGCACTTAGCAGGTAGAGCTGTGACAAATGGGCTTCACGAAATAGAAAAACCAGGAATAGAACAAGCCGGAGACAGAAGCCGGAAGGAACAGCCGTGCATGAAAAACGGCCCCTCCTGCCCATTCCAGACCGCAGGGAAGCACAGCCCAGACTGGTGGTCCTCGCTTCTAAGAACAGAATTTCAATTAAGATACTTCATTTCCCTTCAGGGCCTTTAATGAGCACCTACTGTGTGCTTAGTGTGGGAGACGAGGAAGGGAGAGAGGCGTGGCTACGGTATAGAAAGATCAGGACCGTTTTCTGGAGGGCCTGACAGTCCCGAGGATATGGGCGCCGTGGGAAGGTCTGATGGGACGGTTGGGGGTGCCAGGAGCAGGGGATGAGGAAGAGGGCGGCGGGGAGGGGGCTTTCAGCCGCCCGGAGGTGAACGGAGGCTGGGCGCGAGGAGGTCCGGGGAGCCTCAGAGAGGTAGAGGTGAGGTAGAGATTGAGACGCAGCCGGGACAGACGGAAGCAGCCTGCATGTTCCATCTTGAAGGAGACCTTTCCAGATCCTGTTAGCCCAGCCTGTCGGAGTCCTGTTAGCCCCTGGTCCCGTGAGAGGCCCTACTCAGTGCGTCTTCCTGTCTTTCCCTTAGGTTTGGGTTTGTGCAAGATAAATATTCCGCGTCTGCTTTTAACTTCCCAGCTGAGAACAAGCCTCAGTACATCCATGTCACAGGTGAGGGGCTCTGGAGAGAAGGGGGAGGGGGTGGGCCCCATGCCCAGGGTCTGCACCCCGCCTGTGGTTGCAGAACCGCCCAGCCAACCCCGACCCCATGCGGGGCACTACCTGTGGCTGCAACCCCGCGCCCTCCCCTTCGTCCAGGCACCGTGTTCCTGCAGCTGCCCTACTCCAAGCGCAAGTTCTCGGGGCAGCAGCGCCGGCGGCGCAACTCCACCAGCTCCGCCAACCAGAACATGTTCTGCGAGGAGCGGATCGGCTACAACTGGGCCTACAACACCATGCTGACCAAGACCTGGCGCTCCAGTGCCACGGGCGACGAGAAGTTCGCCGACCGGCTGCTGAGGGACTTCACCGACTTCTGCGTCAACCGCGACAACCGGCTGGTCACGTTCTGGGCGAGCTGCCTGGAGAAGATGCATGCCAGCGCCCCCTGAGACGGGGGTGTGGTCAGAGGATGGGAGGATGCCCGTCTGCTGCTGATAGGCAACGGATCAGCCAGGCTCTGGGCGTCGATGGCAGTTTGCCACCGTCAGTGGGCGGGGGCCGCCGCCGCTTCCCCCGTGTTCTTCCGCTCGAGGAGAAGGATTCTGGAAGCAGCTAGCGCCCGCCCAGAGCAGGTGGGAGGCCCAGATGGCCCGTGGGAAGGGGACAGGCAGCCCCCAGGAGTGTCCTCAGAGGGGGTGGCTCCTCCGAGAGTCCCCTCCTGCACCCCCCGGGGGCTCTTCAGAGCAGGATCCACACTTCCCACTAGGAGAGCGCACAGGATGTAAGATAATGTTGTGAAATAGTGTACATAGGCTCACACTGACTGTACATACCTGTACATAGCAGCAGCGGAGTAAAGAGCCCCGCGCGCCATCCCTGGCCCCAGCCTGGTTTCTGTGCCGTCTTAAAGCACCCCCCAACCCCCACCTTTCCAGGCCCCTGGTACATGCTGGGGGAGCACCAGGGGCTGGCCAGGGTTCTCACTGGGGGCGACTTGGACCCCCGTTTGAGAAACATTTGGCAATATCTGGAAACACTCGGGTGTCCTAACAGTCCACAGTGCTACTGGCATCTGATGGGTGCTTCCCAACACCCTGCATTGCCCAGGGTGGCTCCTACAGCAAAGAATTGCCCGGCCCCGGCCCCCAGCCAGGCACCATGGCTCAGTGGTTGAGCGTTGACCTATGAACCAGGAGGCCACGGTTCAATTCCCAGTCAGGGCACATGCCTGGGTTGTGGGCTCGATTCCCAGTGTGGGGCGTGCAGGAGGCGGCCATCAATAATTCTCTCTCATCATTGACGTTTCTGTCTCTCTCCCCCTCTCCCTTCCTCTCTCTGAAATCAATAAAAATATATTTTTTAAAAAAAGGAGTGGGAGAAATAAGCCCATTGTGTGTGGTTTCCCCGCACTGGGAAGGAGGGAGGGCAGGCTGGGGCCTGCTCCCTGCACAGCGATGAAGGCCAAGGCCACACACCCTCCGGTCCCCAGTCACCGCACTGGCCTCCGAGGGCGGTTGGCACAGGAGGACAGGAGCGCTCCGGGCTGGTCTGACACAGGAAGTGTCTCACCTCAAAGCAGAAGTGAAACAGGCCACACTTCCCCTCGCAGGAGGCGCATCGGACCATCCCCTCGCCACCGTCTCCTGCAGGAACGGCTGGGGTCTGAGGTTGGGGGTTGACAGAAGCCGGGCTGTCTGCCTCACCCATGTCTGCCTCCCACCACACATCCTGGGCAGCATCTGGTCACACAGGCCTCCTTGGCTGGCATCCCTGTGGTTGGAAGATACCATTTCTGTTGGGTTTTGTGATGTAGACTCTCAGGGAAATGGCCCTTTTTACATCCCCTGCTCCCAGTGGAATCGCGGCCAGCCCATCACTACAAGATAGAGGTTCACGTACGGTTTATGCTCTCATTCATTGTTCTCCCATCAACAATATATTCAGAGCAATCTGTGTACAGGTCCGTGAGGAAGAAGGGCTGTGAACACGAGTGTGCACAGGTCACTATTGTTATGGTGGTGAAATCTTGCAGTCGTGGGCTGGGATGTGAAGGCTGTGTAAGAGTTCTGGCCTTCAAGGAGTGGGAGGGGAAGGGGATTCTGGAGGGCTAAAGGGCTTTGGCACTAAAACCAAACGAGAAGGCAGCCTGGCCACGGGGGCTCAGTGGTTGAGCGTCCACTATGAACCAGGAGGTCACGGTTCAATTCCCGGTCAGGGCACAAGCCCGGCTTGTGGGTTCAATCATTGGTGGGGTGTGTTCAGGAGGCAGCAGATCAATTAATTATTCTCATCATTGATGTTTCAGTCTCTCTCCCTTTTCCTTCCTCTCTAAAATCAATAAAATTTTTTAAATAAAAATAATAAAAAATAATCCCTAGCCAGTTTGGCTCAGTGGATAGAGTGTCAGCCTGCAGACCAAAGGGTCCCAGGTTCGATTCCGGTCAAGGGCTTGTACCTTGGTTGCAGGGTCGGCCCCGGTCGGGGGCGCGTGCAGGAGGCAACCAGTTGATGTGTTTCTCTCACATCAGTATTTCTCTCCTCTCTCTTCCACTCTAAAAATCAATGGAAAAATATCCTCGGGTGAGGATTCTAGAAGGAAATTACTAGTCATCCTAATAAGAAGATACAGTTTGTTAAGTCAGACCAATACTGGTATAGTGTGAGCTTCCTTACAGTGCGCAGACAGCGAGCGGCTCGCAGAGGAAGAACAGCATGCAGCAGTTGATGAGCAAAGACCAACAGGAGTGGCCAGACTTTGTGCTGGGCCACTTCTGAGGGTGGCAGCTCAGGGGCTGAGAAGTGCAGATGGGTAGTGACCGCGTCCCGGGGATGTGCAGTCCCGCATAGGGACATAGTCAGTGATGCTGCAATCACCATGGGTGGTGCCGGGCGGGTCCTGGGAATATCGGGGGACGCTTTGGGAAGGGAATCGTCTGACCACTGGGCTGTACACCTGGAACCCACACAAAATAATATTGAATGCAAGCTGTGATAAACCATTTGTTTTTAAAGATGGAACTACCTTTTATTTTTTTAAATATATTTTTATTGATTTCAGAGAGGAAGGGAGAGAGAGAAACATCGATGATGAGAGAGAATCATGGATCGGCTGCCTCCTGCACGCCTCCCATTGGGGAGCAAGCCTGCAACCCGGGCATGTGCCCTGACCAGGAATTGAACCCTCAACCACTGAGCATCTTTGAGGTCGATGCTCAACCACTGAGCCACACCGGCCAGGCATAAAACATTTTTTGGTTTTTATCATTAAAGGCTCTAAGCCAGCACCAGGTGACCCGGTCAGGTGTGGAGTTTTAAAAGCGTGTCTGGCTGTGGTGATCCAAAATGGAAGCGGGGGGTGGGTTGAGCGAATGTCAAAGCAGGAAGCCGCTGAGAGCCAGTGTGGTTGTCCAGGAAATCTGTGATGGAACCTCAGACCGGGAAAGGGGGGGGAGGGGAGGGGGAGGCATGGATGACTTGTCAACCATTTAGGAGATAAAAGGGATATGACTGGGCAATGGGTTTGGTGGGAAGGATGCGGGCCAGCCAGGCCCTTGTTTAGGATGACACCTAGGTTTCTGGAAAGAACTGTTGCCAGGCAACAGAGTGAAAGCCAGGGCAGAGCTGGGAAGGGGTGGGAGCACTTTCCCCTGCAGTTGTGATTATGCCCGTGTTTGCAAAATAAGGGGTGTTGAGAGCCTGGGCTGCACAGCTCCCTGATTGCCTGTGGGGGTGGGGTGGGGTGGGGTGGGGTAGGGTGGGGTGAGGAGGCTGGTTGAAGGAGGTTGCACGTGGCCGGCTGGAGGGCTGGGCTGGGAGCTAGGGCTTAGCTGTGTGGCATTGAGGGGGCAGCTTTGCCCCTCTGGCCCTCAGCTCTAGAATGGCTGGCCCTGCTGGTCTGGCATTTTAAGGGCAAC